TTAGGTGATCATAGTACAGTACTATTGGGACTTCATCAAGATAAAAGCATGAGGATGGAGATAACATCTGGTTGCTCATCTTTTATCTGGGGTTGGGGATCATTAAATAGATGATATAGGTGATCATAGTACAGATATTTATTTTATTAGATTTCACAATTTACTTTATGTTATTGTGGTACATTTGCCAGTCGATTGAGTATTTATAACATTATTTTTGTTTGTATCTTGGGAATCACATGTTCAAACAGTTTTATATAATTTCTATAAAGCATGATTTAACTTCAGCAATTCATTGAATTGAATACAGGTCTCCTAAATATATTCATTTGATGGTTCCAAAATTTCCATTGATACATATCCTTGAAACTTTTTATATAATAAGAATCCCATGTTTAGAGAAGAGTTTTGGGCAGTTATTTTTCAAGACATACATTTTAATGTCCAGTCTAAATCTTCACTATTTCCTATATAGGAAGGTAGAATATATATATATATATATATATATATATATATTTGTACAAAAATATCTTCTTTTCCTGGATATTTTAATATTTTAATATATATATATATTTCTAATTACAAAGTTAACATATTGTCTTAGTCCATTCAGGCTGCTCTAACAAAACACCACAGACTGGGTGGCTTAATAACAGAAATTTATCTCTCACAGTTCTGGAAGCTACAAGTCTGAGATCAAAGTACTGGCCAATTTGATTCCTGCTGAGAGCTCTTCCTGGCTTGTGGACAGTTGCCTCCTCTCTATTTTCTCATGGTGGAGAGAGAATGAGCTCTCTGATGTCTCCTCTTATGAGGACCACTAATCCTATAAGATCATGGCTCCATCCCTATGACCCCATTTAACCTTAATTACTTAGTCCAAATGCAGCCATACTGGGGGTTAGGACTTCAACATATGAATATTTAAGGGACACAATTCAGTCCATAGCACATATGCTCATTAAAACAATAGGAATATAAGAGGTAGAAAATGAACTATCGCATAATCTCAACCCCTAGGAGATGACCTCTCTTGATCATTGTTCAGATCCTTCCATGTTTTCCAGCATGCATATTTTTCTGTATGTGTTTGTAGGGGGGTGGGGTACAAATAAAGTATGTGTTAGTATTTTATGATGATACTTTACAAATTGTTCTGTATTTTTTCCATATAAAATGTTGCATGTAAAGTCTTTCTAGATGAAAACGTGTGTTAGATATCACATTAACATTCTGTTGTATTAATCTACCACATGGATTGAACCATTCATTTTTTTCTTGTGCTGTCTCTTTAAGGGTGGGGACTCAGTTTCCTCTCACTCTCCCATCTCTCCCAGATCCCAGTCTGCTAATTTTTAAAAATTCCAGGTTTTAAGTTCCACTGGTTATCAGAACTCATGAAATTCAGCTCCTCTGGTTTTCAAAGCCAAATGTTATGGGGATTCATCCTTCCCGTGAGGGCTTCCTGGTGGGGGGGGGGGTCTTCCCTCTCCTTTCTGGCACTGTCCCTCCCTCCTGCAGACAGTTCGTGAGTCTGTTTAGTTCCAGACCATGTCTCAACCCTTCCTGCCACGTCTCTTATTATTAGGATACTAAATTATTGTTTATATATTTTCAAAATGTTGTCTTTTGATTTTATTTATAAATCATTAAGTAAATTAAGGAATACATGAATGAATAAGAGATCAAAACTGTTAATTAAAATACATGTTATACTTATGATAAGCATGTGTATGCAGGCCACTGTGGGATCGTAGAAGGTGGATCTAAAGCAAAGTGGAGGGTATATATATGCAGGTCACCTACACCAGGTGAAACTTGAGCTGTGCTTCAAAATGTGACTAGAAGTCAGAGAAGATGAAGAAGTTGTTCTAGGAAGAGGATATGGCAATCCAAATGGAAAAGAGCAAGGTCTATCCTGGACATTATAAGTAGTTCACTGTGTCTGGAGCAAAAAGGACTGTACAGAGATGGGCTACGGAGATGGAAAGGGCTCATTTACCAATGACTTGCTCAATATAGAGAAGCATTTGAACTTCACCCTGAAACTCTGGGGAGGCACCGACATGTCTAGACTTGGATTTTAGGAAGACTATTCTAATACAAGTATGAAAAATGGTTCAGAAGGAGTCCTTTGGAGTCAGGAAGACCAAGTTGTGGTCTAGTTGAGGCAGACATTAATTTTTGATTGTCATCATCATCAAGAGTGGAAAATGAAACCTTTAAAAAATTTCTCTGTAGGGGTGCCTGGGTGGCTCAGTTGTTAAGCGTCTGCCTTTGGCTCAGGTCATGATCCTAGCGTCCTGGGATCGAGCCCCGCATCGGGCTCCCTGCTCCGCGGGAAGCCTGCTTCTCCCTCTCCCACTGCCCCTGCTTGTGTTCCCTCTCTCACTGTGTCTCTCTCTGTCAAATAAATAAATAAAATCTTTAAAAAAAGAATTTCTCTGGAACTGGAACTGAATCAACTCTGGAAGAATATATACCTGGGGAGTGGGGATGACTGGAGGGGAGAGGGACTTTTCATTTACTTCTCGAGGCTGACACTTTTGTATTATTTGAGTTCTTCTTTTTTTAACCAAGCATAGACTTTAATAATAAAGAATTTTTAAAGCTCATCAATAACAGATGGGAGCAATCTGACATGGAAATTTATGTGATAATTATTGAATGCTTTGGTGTATCACCAAATCAGTATGAACCCAAGTTTTAATATGGCTGTGATAGCTGGTGTAATAATACTTGGTTACATTAATATTTTACAAGTATTCTAATAAAGAGTGTTTATACCCTTTTTTGTAATAGTTAGACTGTAGCTGGAACCGTGTGTTCACCAATCAACTTGGAGCATGTTCAAGAGAAATGAGCCATGAGTGAAAGGACTTAAAATCATGTTAGATAAGGAACTGCTACAGAAAATGGGGATGCTCTGCCCGGAGCAGGTCGGACAAGATACTTGACCTCAGTTATTGACGATGTGTTATGCCAAAGAGAAGTAAAACATATTTCATTACATTTCTAATACAGATAGAAACAAGGAATTGGAGTTTGTAAGAGGACAGATTTGACTTGAAAAAAAGAAAGAAATTGAATGGATATCATCTTTTTTATGCCTAAAAAGCTGACAATGCAGATGTTTTGGGCAGCTTCTCATAAACTGGCAAAAACTGTACTATTCCTTCATTTAACTTATGCTTATAGCCAATTATATTGTGATAGATCCTGCAGAGTTCAGCTACACTTATTTGTATGTAAATTCGTGTGATAAGTTTGTGTGTTTTTTTCTTTCTCATTAAAAAAACTAACACGTTCATTTCTGAAGTTGGGTACGTTTTATCTGTTTTCAAACAAGCACATGAAAGGGTGGTGTTAATAATATTAAATAACTGGTTTTCTCAGCATGACTGGATCCCTCCCCAACTTAACCATTCACACCTTCTCCTCTCACCCACACTACGTACACAAGCCTAACTTGTCACTCTTGTCCCCATGGTTTTAACACTTTTTTAAAAAAGATTTTTTTTTTTTTTAGATTTATTTATTTATTTGAGAGACACAGCCAGAGAGGGAACACAAGCAGGGGGAGTGGGAGAGGGAGAAGCAGGCCTCCCGCGGAGCAGGGAGCCCCATGCGGGGCTCGATCCCAGGACCCCGGGATCATGACCTGAGCCGAAGGCAGATGCTTAAGGACTGAGGCACCCAGGCGCCCCTAAAAAGATTTTTTATTTGTTAGAGAGAGAGCATGATGAGTGGCGGGGGGGGGGGGGGCAGAGGAAGAGGGAGACGCAGACTCCCCGCTGAGCAGGGAGCCTGATGGACACGGGGCTCAATACCAGGACCCTGAGATCATGACTTAAACTGAAGTCAGATGCTTAACCGACTGGGCCACCCAGGCACCCCGCCCCCACCATGGTTTTAACATTTATTCAAGTTTTCTTACCCACAGCCATCGACATTATACCTTCTCACCACAAAGATAGAGCCAGTTGAAAAAGAGAGCTGCCCTACACCATCTAGTTCAGGTCAGGTGTCAAATACCTCAGAAGATGAAGTTTAGTTTCATTCTGTAGATTTAGGATCCTGATACCTGGGCAGATTGTGATCACCCTACAATCCTCCATTAGCTGAGATTACTTTGGATTATGGTGTATATTCTGCCATCCCATCATCCTGGGCTGATTATATTGTTGTTAAGATCTAACAAAGGCAACACAATTTATGTTTACTGCTGAATTGATATCCTTCCTAGATGCCTAATGTTTAAGCTCTAGGAAAATATTGCTTACCTGACTGAGTTTGGATCATTTTGCAAATATGCTCAAGTTCTTGGATTGGAAAGTAGATGTATTAGTCAGGGTTCTCCAGTAATGGAACCAATAGGAGAGAGAGAGAGATAATAGGAAGATAGATAGATAGATAGATAGATAGATAGATAGATAGATAGATAGATAAATAGATAGATAGAGGTAGATATAAAGAGATTTATTACAGGGAATTAGCTCATGTGATTATGGAGGCAAACAAGTCCCAAAATCTGCAAGTGAGTTGGTCAACTGGAGACCCAGGAGAACCGATGGTATAGTTCCAGTCTGATGCTTATAGTCTCAGGCCTTAGGAAGATCTGATGTTTCAGTATAATTCTGAAAGCAGGAAAAAACTAATATCTCATTTCAAAGGCAATCAGGCATGAGGAATTGCCATGACTCAGGGAAGTATCAGTCTTTCTGTTGTATTTAGGCCTTCACCTGGTTTAGTGAGGCCCATCCACATGAGGGAGGACAGTCTGCTTGAATTAGTCTACCCGTTTAAATATTAATCTCATCCAAAACACCATCACAGTAACATGCAGCATAATATTTGACCAGATGTTTGGGCCAACTTGGCCCAGTCAAGTTGACCTAAAATTAACCATCACAGTAGAGTTAGCAGATCCAGTGTCACTGTTGCTCATCAGTATTTATTGCATGTTCGCTGTTTTTCAATTCTTTCTCTCTCCTGCCCAGGAATTATTTACTTAACGTCAACTCTTAGTCATTTGGAATCTACTACCCTTTTGTTGATGGTCTGTGCTCGAGATGGTGGCGGGCTCGCATCTGCCATTAATGCCGATGTCACTATACACATTCTTCAGACAACGCTGTCGCCCGCTGAATTTGAAAGGCCTAAGTATACTTTCTCAGTTTATGAAGATGCACCTGAAGACAGTCCTGTGGGAACAGTAAAAGCAAAAGAGTCCTCGAGTAAGTACTTACTTCTTATGCCTTGTTAAAATCCATTACTGGAACATTTTCTGTGTTTTCTTAGGCTATGTAATCTTGAATAAATCTTTTTCTTTCTCCATGCAAGAAGAATGGAGACCACACAATCTGTGGCTTACTCTTTGTTCTTTCAACATCATTTCTATCCTATGATTTTTCCTAATCAAAAAAGTAATAGATACTTTTAAAAGTTTAAAACAATACAGAATGATTATAATGTAGAAAGTATACATCTATAACCTACTCCTCCAAACACACACATGTGCACACACACACACTTTAAAAATTTTTTTAAGTCTTTTTTTTTTTAGATTTTATTTATTTATTTGAGACAGAGAGAGAGAGAATGAGCAGGGGGTGGGGCAGAGGGAGAGGGAGAAGCAGACTCCCTGCCGAGCAGGGAGCCTGATGTGGGGCTCGATCCCAGGACCCTGGGATCATGACCTGAGCTGAAGGCAGACACTTAACGGACTGAACCACCCAGGCGCCCCACACTTATTATTATTATTATTTTTTTTAGTGAAAATACATCCTGCTCTATTTGTTGTTTTACAACTACCCTTTACCCTCCACTTTATATGTTGAGGACAGTTTTCCAAGTAACTGGACATCATTCTGTCTCATTTAAACAAAGCTTACATAGTATTTTGACTTAGATACAAACATGTTTTCTTGAAACATTTCCCTTTTGCTATTAATTTGAATGATTTATAGCCATTTTTTGCTAGTCCAAATAATACTCAAGCAAATATCCATATACGAGTTATAAAGGTTTCTGTGCAGAGTAGATTCCTAGAAGTGAATTATTTGTCTAAAGATCTTGTTCTGCTCACAGTCCACTTCTTCTCTGTCCTCTTTCCCTTCCCTTAACCTTTGTGGGGGTTATTTGCCATTCATAGGTAGATATCATAGAGAAGCATCAATATAACCTTAACTCGGCTTCCCCAAATATGTAAAACAGGCATCCAAATTATTTTCTGAATATCTTTCCCTTTTACTTAATGCAGAATGATTGAAAGGAAGATAGTGAAACCTGTGGCTTGCTCCTTGTCCATTGGGCATTACCTTTGTCCGCTAATACATCTTAACCACAGTGTCCACTTTTCAGTAGATTTTGGAGAGCTGAGGAAGATGTAATACATTGCATTGTGTTTTCCATGGATGTCGTATATATCCATGGAAGATATATGTGTATATATACACACATACATATATGAATGCTTTAAGTTTTCAGGGTTTCCAATAGGTGCATTCCAGTAGGTGCATATGGTGCTTGCTTTTTCTTTCTCTCTCTCTCTTTTTTTTTTTTTTTTTTTCCCCCCCCCCCCTCTTTTTTTAGATTCCTCAGAGCCAATTTTTTATAGAATCTCCTCTGGTGATCTGGACAGAAAGTTCTCCATTCACCCATGGCTGGGCGTCATCCGAACTCAGAAGCCTCTGGATCATGAGACACAGCCGGTGGTTGTGCTCACAGTGCAGGCTCAGCTTGGCGGCTCTCCCACCTACAGCAGTACAGAGGTCAACGTAACTGTCATTGATGTCAATGACAACTATCCGGTATTTCCCAAAGCCTCTGATGAAGTTAAAATATCTCAGACGACATTGCCTGGCACAGCCTTGTACCTCGCCCGTGCACAAGACAAAGACAGTGGGCAGAATGGATTCATCAGATATACGATCGCAAGCCAGGATCCAAGCATCTTTGCGGTCGACTCAAGGCTTGGTGCGGTGTACCTCAATGGGAGTGTGGGAAGTCACGTGCCCCGGAAGTGCACGCTCACTCTCCTGGCCCAGGATCTGGGCGTTCCTCCTCGGGCATCCCTGTTAGTGCTGACGGTTGCGATTGAGGAACAAGAGCAAAGCCCATCCTTGACTTTTGAAAACTTGGTCTATCAAGTGGAAGTTAGTGAGTCTCTCTCGCTGATGACCCAAATCCTGCAAATACAGGCTTACCCACTTGGCCCACAGCGTACAACCTCGCAGCTCCTGTACTCGCTGGAGCCCAGCACGGACTCTGCTGTGTTTGGCGTCCGCCCTGACACAGGTTGGATTTATTTGCGGCGACAGCTTGACTATGAATCCACACAGACATATAATTTTAGAGTGTTTGCCTGGATCCCAGAGGACAGATTGTCGCAAAATGTGAGCACTTCAGTAATTGTTCATGTCCTGGATGAGAATGACAATTCCCCTACCTTCTTGCATGATGTGTTGTTTTTGAAAGTCGAGGAGAGCCCTGTTCCACAAGGGGTAATAGGCAAAATTACAGCAATTGACAGAGACTCGGGAAAGAATGGACAGCTGTCATATTTCCTTTTGTCTGATGGAAAATTCTTCAAGATGAATCCTAATACAGGTAGCATTTTGTAGCTTCCACTTACTCCTTTAAAATCGAAATGCACAAAACTCAAGTCTTTTAGTGATAACATTACAAACATGTAGTTAAAATTAGTTTCTGGTAGATACCTTATTCAGAGAATTGTGATTTTAATATGAAGTCAAAATTGAGTAGAATTTTACCTGTAATGATTCATACTCCTGTTGCCTCATACCCACATATTGCCAATATATGGTTCTTATACTGAATTAGAGCTACAGTCAGAACTGGACTGAATAAATCCCTGTGCAAAGTCTAATTTTTTCCCCCAACTGTTCTTTTTCACTTGTAGATTTTTTTTAAAGCCAAATAATATTTTATAAACTATAAGTGTCATCAATGTAAAGCTAGAAAAAAATCCATTAGGTAAGACTGCAAAATCACTCTATTGATGTATTTCCCCATTCTCATTCTGATAAGGGAACCATGGTGAAAAGGGCAAATATTTCCGCTGAGTTCTTTTTTTCCAAGTCTTCATTATGAAGTTAAATATTAAAATGCTATTACATTTTAAAATTTATATTGCAGAAATTTACAAGGATCTTATTTAATTCTACACCTACAAATGAAATATGTTCATACGGCAACCATATAGCTGAAGAAACTGACTCAGACCTCAAAGAACATGCCCCAGGTTATGGAGCTGGAAGGAAGAGAAGGCCACCACCCGTACAACTCCAGGAGGCACCATTTATATTGCAGCCTTTGTAATTGGTACCCCCTGCCCCATAGTGGGACAGAATTTGAATTCAGTTCTGATGAACTTCAATAGCCTTTGCTCTCATGAAAGGCCTGTTGTGTGAATTAGGAACAGGTGCCTCTTCCTCCAGCAGATGGAGCTTTACACCAGGGCACATGACTTTGCCACTGCAAAGTGGAGTTCCGCCCACATTCACGTCCAAGCTGGGACGCCCTCTGCAGGGCACAAACTGCACAGCAGTACAGGGTGATCTGCTTGCTTGTGCCTTCCAGATGCTAGGTAGTTTTGTAGGTCTTCTATTTCCACTTGGGACTTAAAAAAATAAATAAATAAATAAAGCGTACAGTTGGTTCCCCCTATGGTTTTCTCTCTCCTACAATTAGTCCAGTGCCCAGCTTCAGAAGACCAGGTGTCCTTTCCTAGAATTGTTGTATGCTGGAAGCAAGTAGCTTAACCTCAGAGCTCAGTTTCCTTACCATGAATAGAGGAGATAATGCCTGACATGCTCTGCATTCTGCTCAGAGGGGGAAAGAGTTTAAGTCTATGAAGGGGCTTGCAAGACGACCTTCTCACAAACGATTCCCATTCCCCAGGGTTGGGTATGGTGTGGCCACACAGGGGTCGAGAGCACCCTTCAGAGCATGGCAGGCGTGCCCGTCTTCCACATCTCCACATCCTGGTGCTCTGAGCCGTCTGCGTGGTGACTGGGACCAGCTCCCGTGGAAGCCTGTGGTGGCATCTCCCGTGACCAGTTCCAGGCTGAGCTTCCCAGTCTTTTCCCCACTGACTTCCCAACTGCTGCTTGCCCATCAGAGTTGGTTCATCAGATAAAAATCTGCTTGCCATTCAGGATTTAGGATTTTCAGAGGAGAATTACAGTTTGGAGCTTTAAAAGTGCAGTTGTTGGGTATGTGATTTTTGTTAAAAATCACACTTCTCGTAAACATTTATATAAATGTAGTTTACATAGTGGATGGATATAGTAAACACTGCATTACAGCTCAACAATTCCATAACTTACCCAAACGTGAATTTTCCTTTCTGTTCCTGATTTCACTCTTTGTTTTGTTCTATACACTGTCATTTCATTTGGATGAAGAGGGTAAAACCAATCTTAGAAATGGTAATGTTAGCTGGAAGTTGCTTCATACTGACTTTCTCACAAATAGATATCTCCATAAATAGTGAGGAAAGTAATAGCTGGTGGAGCTCTGCAGCAGGAGCTGGGCTGCCTGGAGAGGGCATGTGGCCTCCAATGGTCCATGGCCTGAGTCTCCATGGCTGAACCATGATGGAAGTTGCTAGAAAACAGTTCTGAGGAAGAACATGGAGAATAAGGCTTGCAAAGCATTCAGTTATTTGGGAAGTCTCTATCCATTGCTACACATATGTTTTGCAACATAACAATAAAGAACTATTTACATAAAAGCTAAACCATTGCCTACAGAATGTATTTGATTTTCAGGAAGGTATTTTGGCATTATTTTGAAGTAACAATAACAACTGCCACATTTGTAATAATTTACGGCTTACAAAATACTTTTAAATTTATGATTGTATTTGTTTCTGGTAGCCCTAGGAGGTAGGCTAGGGAGAGGTCCTTCCATGTCTGAGGTGGAGAAACTGGGACCCAAACCCTGAACTTGTAATATCAGAGCTGAGGTGCTTTCCATTATTCTGTGGGGCAGTATGAAGAGGGATATGCTATAATTTTAAATCTTCTAAATTATTACTAAATTCCCACAAAGTACTTTATCATATATTTTTATGAATTCATTTTTTTAGTTCAGATGGTGGATGGCAGATAGTTTGAAATACAAAGAATGACAAATTGGAAATGGCATTTTCAGGAGAAACTTCAGAAAATTCAACAGTAGAGCCAAACTACTATATACATCATCTTAGAAATGGTGCATTTACTCTGAGTTTTATGTCTGGTTTTCCTTTCTGTGCATTAGCTTGGATGGGGTCATTCTAGTACACAGTGACAGCCTCTTTTGTTCTCCTCTGTGTTCCTTAGGTGAATTTATCAGTTGGGTGGCATTGGATCACGAGCTTCAGGTGCACCATCAGGTGACGGTCCTAGTGACTGATCATGGCTCCCCGCCACGGAACGCCACCATGGTGGTTTATATTTCAGTGACTGACATCAATGATAACAGGCCATATTTCCCACAGTGTCTCCCTGGAGAGGAATTGCACATCAAGGTTTGTGGAGTGAAGTAGCCTTGCAATGATTTTGTAATAGTCTTAGTCATTTGTTTTGAGCACCATCTTGTGGTAAAAAGTGTGAATTTATCAAATCAGTCTCGGTGTGGCAGCGCATGTTTCCAGATCTAAAAATTGTGAACATGTCAAAAATAAATAAAAAAAAGACTCCACAAATTAAAACATAAAATAAAATGGTTATATGTTCAATTTGGGATCACATATCTAGTTTTATGATAATGTAGTTTTGCCTGTTATATACAAACATAATGGTGCCCCACTATCAGTAATGCTCAGATATGGATTGTTTTCCCAGTAATTTGCATGCATCTCTTGGTGCAGATCTCCATATGGGCAACTGGTACACATCTCTGAGCTGGTTAGTTAAATATAGGGGAACAATCTGTAGCTCTAAAGTAGAAAGACGTGCAACCAGAGACCATAAAATTTGATCTTTGGTAGCGCCTGCAGAAATTTCTAATTATATTTATATGATTTCATCTTTTTCATTTCCATGTTTTCTATGTTTTATAGTATACATAATAAATTAGAATATTTGTTTATGTACATAATTAATAAATGTATCTTGGAGGTATTTATACTTTTTTAATGAATGGGTTACATGAATAAAAAGTTTGGAAGCTGTTGCTCCAAACCAACTGAATTGGACATTCAAATTGTGTTCAGATATGCATATTGAACAATTAAAAAAAGATACTGAGACAGTTCATAACTTTAAACTCATCTTCCAAAGCTGTATTTAAAGAAAATCCTACCAAAACAAAACATTATTATAGTATCATTTTTATTTTAATTATATCATTAAAACATCCCAGGGCAGGGTAGCAGGACTGCACACTTGGAGTTCAACTCCCCATGTACATTTCAATATTCCATGAAAGTTCCTGTTAACTAGTTCCTGTTAACTACTGAGGTATGTTACCTGTATCGGGTGTGTTTCCTGAAATAAAGGTTTATATATTTATCTTTAGGATATTTTGGACCTTTTAAAAAAATAAGAAGATGCTAGAATTCTTGAAATATATCCAAAATCTACGATTATTTAGTCAATTTGATTTTTTTCTCAAAATTAGTTCAAATGCTGCAGATGATTTGTTCAAATTAAGTTTGAACTAGTTTGTTCAAATTTGTAGTATTGTTTCTTTTCATGGATTTGCATTTATATAACTTTTATATGGTAGACATTTGAGTTATAGGTGGATTTTTAACATAGTTTAAAAAATGCTTAGTAGCAATGTGTTCTTTCACTTAAAGGTTCATATTTCTCTCTAAACTTTCACTGACTAATTTTTAAGCCATTTGTTTTAATGACAGGTTCTGGAAGGTCAACCAGTAAATATGTTGGTTACAACTGTGTTTGCAAAAGATTTTGATGAAGGAAACAATGCAGAAGTTGTATATTCAGTATCTTCAGGTAAAAGTCACCCTTATAAAGGATTAGGAGCTTTTAGAATTTCCTCCATTGTCTACCAACTATCTACCTTCTTCTGGGAAAATGGGTAATGTTGAAAATAACACCAGGTACAAACAAAATACATTTGTGATTATCTAGAGTCACCTTCATTTAAAAAAATAACTTAAAAGTTTAAGGTAAAATCATAACAGTTTATCTGTGTCCTAAGTAGAAACCAACCAACCATCCACCTTAAATGGATAATTTTCAATAATCTGAAATGCAAATCAACTTTTATTGAAAGTAAAGTAGTAGTGAATCAAAATTGGTATGAAGTATAAAGAAATATGATTATGAATGCAAACATCTATGAATCTCTATGAAGACTAAATATTCTTAAGGTCAAAGTAAATCATACTTGGAAAATGTCACAGTACATATATATGTTGGAACTTCATTAGGAAAAGCTCATGTTTCTATTTTTCTTTTAGAATGCACCGGCCTCAGATTTGTTTCGGTGATTAGCTTTAGTTGGCACTGCATTTTACAATATTTTTAAATGTATTTGTTGCTTTGTCATGTTTGTCACAAAATGTGACATAATGTTATTTCTTGCTAATAATGTTATCTCTTTATCGAAAGAAAGAAAGAAAGAAAAAGAAAGAGATCTTTTTAAAAGTCACTAGCATTTTTTTTTAAAGATTATTTATTTTAGGGAGAGAGAGAGAGCAGAGGGTGGGAGAGACAGAGGGAAAGGAGAGGGAGAGAGAGAATCTCAAGCAGACCCCCTGTCGAGGGCCAAACGCAACAGAGGGCTGGATCTCAGGACCCAGAGATCATGGCCTGAGTAGAAACCAAGAGTCTGTCACTCAACTGACTGAGCCAACCAGGCGCCCCCCAAAAAATCACTAGCATTTTAAAAACTAAGCAGATTTTCAAAGATATTGCTCATCGTAACAGGGAAAACCATAGGGTGTTGGGGCAGATATACTGTGAAGTAATGAAGTTTAAGTTTCAGGTCCCTTCACTTGAAGGGCTCCTCTGGGATGGGAGTAAGGGGCAGTGGACAATTTATATTTGTAATATTGTCCTATTTTTCTTAAAGACAGCCCCCCCTCCCCACATTATATATTTGAAAACCCCCCCGAATCAGGAACATCCTGACAGGAGCATGGGGAGGAAAATTCCAATAAAAAACATTCAAAACCTTTATGTAGGAAATTACAAATTATTAACGAAAGACCTTAAAGAAGAATGAAACGAAAAGGCATATCATGTTCATGCTTGGGAAAGTTCAAGATCCTAAAGGCAACATATTCAGTGAGCCTGCTGTACACATACATACACACAGAAATTAATATATTAAGCTATAATCCTGCTATAATACCATTATCTAGAAAGAAATGAAACCAGGCTATCTACTCTTCACGAATATATGGACTAGAAAGATAAACCACCACTTTAGAAAAGAAGCTAGTTCCTGGGAAGAAGGAAGGGAATGAGATTTGGAGGTATACCCAGATCCTCTGCTGTAGCGATGTTATTTGTTTAAAACTTTTGAAGAAATTGTGGGAATTTACTAGTTTGGAAATGTTTACATGGGTGTTCATCATATATTTCCAAATGTTTGAAATACTGATTTTTTAAAAATTAGCTTCTAAAATGATACTTGGGTTAGCAATATAAAAAGTATAATGGTATATATTATGTTATTCATACCTTTGCTTCTACTTCATCCAATTGCTAGAGGCAACTACAAAATATAAGAAGAAATAGCAAGATAAAAATAAATATAATGTAGGGTGCCTGGTTGGCTCAGTCAGTTAAACTTCAGACTCTAATTTTGGCTCAGGTCGTGATCTCAGGGTTGTGAGATGGAACCCGCTTCGGGCTTCTGGAGTCTATTTGGGATTCTCTCTCCCCTCTCTCTGACCCTACCCCTGACCACTCATGTTCTTTCTCTAAAAAAAAAGGAAAAAAAGAAATATAAATAAATAGGTATGATGCAAATGAACATATATAGAACATTTATGAAAATTTCATACAGTATTCATGTAAAAATGAATAAATGGATCAAAGCACAGAAATCACAACTAGTAGATGTTACATAATTTGCTGCTATACCCTCTAACTTTCTTAAGGGCAGGAGTTCTTTTTTATTTGTCTTTATATCTCTTATAACTGGTAAAATATCTGTTCTGTGATAAGGACCCATCAAAATGGAGCAAAAGAATGAAAGAGAGCCACTAGCTCAGGCTTTGTCAAGAGTTTTTTGGATTGTTTGAAATGTTTAGATTTTGCTAAAGAATATAAATCTGTTATTTAACAAAAAAAACCTATATAATCAATTTAATTAGAAGTACCAGTATGAACTCGTGTGACATATTTTAGTTTGTGCATGTGTGTATTCTCTGTCACTGAAAAAGGCCTAGAAACAGTGACTGGCCTGGAAGCAATAAGCACCCCCTCACGTTCAGAATATAGCCTCCTGATACCATGTTCCTCCAAAAGGAACCAGGAATCCTTGAAGAAACAGCTGACTCCAGGTCTTGCACAGGAAATCTTTAAAAGATGAGTCTGTGCCATTTTGTCATACCAGATTCAAGGAGGTTACTAAAGACTACTAGGATCATAATAGAAAAGTTCAGGAATCAACTTGAAAAGAATCCCAGTGTTCAAAGATGGGAAAATTTGAGCATTGATAAGAATAATAATGGCAATAGATTGAAACCCTGCTAATGTGTTTAAATTCATGCTTAATGGTTCTTAAAACAGAGGCTAGGCAAAACTGTAATTATCATAGTTGGAACCCAAAAGAGGAGGATGTTAGTGAATCAATCCATTATTTTGAACATTGTTAAATAAAAGCTTAGCATCAAGTATTTATCCTGACTTTCCTATAATGAACTATTCCCTTGGGTTATCAGTAAGTAGAGATGCATGTTGAAATATATCCAGGAGAAATGATAGGATTTCTGGGATTTGCTTCCAAAGAGGACGGTGAAGGAGAATATATGAGTAGGGAAGAAAGACTGGTCATGAGTTGATAATTATTGAAGCTAGATGACAGGCAGAGTCATCTCAGTGCTGTCTCCATATAAGGTCAAAGTCATCTTCGTGCAGAGCTCAGTATATCATTCTGTCTACTTTTACGTGTGTTTGAAAATTCCCATAATAAAACATTTAAAAATTGTTTATGTTTCCTGTCTATATTTTAGTATTATTTTATGTTCATACACTCGCAAAACTTAAAACAAATCTTCCAAATTATCAGAGATGTATGTAGATTCATTAATTCTCTGTTTTCTGCATTGTCAGTTAACATCAATTTCTTAATTTCTGTGTGTGTGTATAGAAGACAGTTCTGATGACTTCAAGATTGATGCCAACAGTGGTGAAATAAGAACAACCACAATCCTTTCATATAACCATAGACCTTCCTACAGGATGACCGTAATTGCCAGTGACCAGGGAGTACCCCCTCTTCAAGGCCAGGCAGTCATTAATATCCAGGTAATATTTTGAAAAAATGCTCAACATCACTTGACATCAGGGAAATACAAATCAAAACCACAGTGAGATATCACCTCACACCTGTCGGAATGGCTAAAATTAACAAGTCAGGAAACGACAGATGTTGGCGGGGATGTGGAGAAAGGGGAATCCTCTTACATTGTTGGTGGGAATGGAGGAGAACAGTATGGAGGTTCCTCAAAAAGTTGAAAATAGAACTACCCTATGACCCAGCAATTGCACTACTAGGTATTTACCCCAAAGATACAAATGTAGTGATCCAAAAGGGCACGTGTACCCCAATGTTTATAGCAGCAATGTCCACAATAGCCAAACTATGGAAAGAGCCTAGATGTCCATCAACAGATGAATGGATAAAGAAGATGTAACACACGCACACACACACACACACGCACACACACACAGGAATATTACTCAGCCATCAAAAAGGATGAAATCTTACCATTTACATCAACATGGATGGAACTGGAAGGTATTATGCTGAGCAAAATAAGTCAATCAGAGAAAGACAATTGTCATATGGTTTCACTCCTATGTGGAATTTAAGAGGATCATAGGGGAGGGAAAACTGAATAGGAAGAAATCAGAGAGGTAGACAAACCATGAGAGACTCTTAACTCTAGGAAACAAACTGAGGGTTGTTGGAGGGGAGGGGGGTGGGAGGATGGGGTAACTGGGTGATGGGCATTAAGGAGGGCACGTGATGTGATGAGCACTGGGTGTTCTATGCAACTGATAAATAACTGAATTCTACATCTGAAACTAGTGATGTACTATATGTTGGCTGATTGAATTAAAAAATATCCAGGTAATGTTCCATCGTCAACATAAAGTGTGAAAAGGTGTTCAGAAGGTTTTTGTTAGATTTTTATGCAAATGTGTACAGTGAAGATACCTTAAATTCATGAATGTTATTTTTAGAGAGCATTGCAGATTTATGTGTGTCTTTTTATTATCACTTGAGAAATGATTAGACCCAAGTAACTTTTAATTTTAACTTTGTACAGTTCCTGATAAGATATTTACCTTTATCACTACATAGGCATTTATGTTGCTTTGCTTATGAAGGACAACAAATTGTCTTGTCTTTTACTTGTTCCTAATTGCAAGGACCTGGTAAACTTGTGGGAGAAACTTGTATGTAAACAAGGGTCAATAATATATCACATAGTTCTTTGTAATTATTTTTAAATTTAGAAAAGTCACTTGAGAACCATATTTTAAGGCTTTGCTTTAATCATAATGAGCAAACAACTTGTGGGAAGTCTTCATTGTGGGAAAAATTCACACTCACCAGTCAAAAATGAGATGATTGTGCATAGCTAGATTTCTTAGTTCATGCACATGACAATCACTAATATTAATACAGATACATATAATAATCAAGAATAGATATCCCTAAGAATTCTGTTTCCAAATTATATTCTTTATTGATTGAGGATATGTGGGTTAGGAGAAAATTCTATATCATAATATTTCCAAGTCTCTGGTTTCAGATAAACAAAGACACATGATACATAAATGTGAACAGATGTTGTCATTATGGATATATTGGTCTCTAGGATTTAGAGTAATTTGGAGAACTATCTATCCCACATTCTCATTGAAGAATCACAAAGCTACAATTCAGTTTAACTATAGCATGGTCTCACCAAATCTCATTTCACGCATTAGAACAAACAGGGAAGTGGAAAATTCTGTACTTTCTTATCTCCTAGATGTTATACAGTTTTCAACCTTGAGAGACATACTGGAATTATATAATAGAAAAAGACATTTTCTCACTAATTAACATATGTGTATCATACAAATGGAAGGAATTAGCTTCCAAAGTAATATCATCACATCTACTGATTCAACTGTTAAAAAGGACCGCAAATTAAAAGCTCTTTTTCATTCTTATTTCAGGTGATACCACTATCTAAAGGGAGAGCTATCATTTCTCAGAATATTAGACACTTAGTTTTACCTGAAAACTTGAAGCCTGCAAAAATAATGAGCTTGATAAAGTCACCCGATCACCTTCAACAACATCATAATGGAAAGTTACATTTTAGTATTGCTGCAGATGACAAGGATGGTCACTTCGAAATTGACAGCTCGACAGGGGACTTGTTCCTTTCTAAGGAACTTGATTATGAAATGACGTCTCATTACCTTTTCAGGGTGGTTACTAAAGACCATAGCAAAACCCCTCCCCTGAATAGCACAGTCTTCCTGAGTATTGATGTGGAGGATCAGAATGACCATTCCCCATCTTTCCAAGAAGAGCTCATTGTGATAAGTGTAGAAGAGAATGTCCCTATAGGGACTCTGGTGCACGTCTTCAATGCCAAAGACGGGGATGGCAGTTTTTTGAACAGTAGAATTCAATACTTCATTGAGTCCCACCACCCGGAAATGAGTCCATTTCTCATCCACCCCTCATTTGGCACATTAGTCACTGCATCCCCCCTTGACAGAGAGAGGGTTCCAACTGTCATCCTGACAATAACTGCATCAGATCAGGCTGTGAATGTGACAGACCGGCGATTGCAATCACTGATGGCAAAGGTCGTGATTTTGGATGTAAATGACCACAGCCCCACTTTTTTGTCTTTCCCCGTTGCCCACATCAAAGAGGATGCCACGGTGGGCTCCTTGGTGCACCACATAAGTGCTCAAGATCCAGATGAAGGAAGAAATGGAAGAGTGACATACAGCATCCTCTCAGGAAATGAAAACACGGCCTTTATGCTAGACGAGTCATCAGGTACTGTCTGTCATTATCACTTAAAGTCTCTGATCACGTGCTCACATTTGTCTTCTTCATTTTCCTCTGTTAAAATGACAGTTCTCAAGATGTATAAGCTTTAAAGAAATGTGACTTGATTTACTGCTTAACTTATGTAAATGAAAGGCCCAGAGATTGCACTCAGACAACCACCTGTAATTGGCCTGTTTGTTAATATTGACGATGCTTTGTTGCTATCTCGCATTTCACAAGATAAATATATAGTAGCAAACTTCTTTACTGCTTTGCACTGTGGATAGTCACGGGGTTGGAGATGGTACCAAAGCGCATCAAGGCAGAGCATGACTAATCATCAGCATTAGTCAAAGACTTTAGAAGGGAAACTTATCTTTAAGATCGTACAAACATTCATTTGTAAATAGTTGGAAGTACTGTATTTTTAAAAGGTTGGATTGATTTGGGCATTAAGACCTTTACTTCTCACATCAGCTGTAACATTTTATTTTTTGCAGAAGCATTTTTTTGGGGGGGGTGATGGTAGTGGTTTTATTGTGATATAGTTGACATATAACATTATATTAGTTTCAGGTGTACAACATGACGATTGAAATTTGTATTTATTATGAAATTATCACCACGATAAGCCTAGTAAACTTCTGTCCCCTCACATAGTTACAAATTTTTTCCTCTTGTGGTAAGAACTTTTAAGAACTCCTCTCTTGGCAACTTTCAAATACACAATACAATGTTATTAACTACAGTTCCCATGCTCTCCATTATATCCCCAGGACTTATAACTGGAAGTTTGTACTTGTTGACCACCTTCACATTTCTCCCACCCCATACATCTTTCTTTAAATTTTTTATTGTTATGTTAATCACCATACATTACATCATTAGTTTTTGATGTAGTGTTCCATGATTCATTGTTTGCG